AGGGATTGCTACGTATGTAAAGAGCGAGTTAAGTGTGTGCGAGAGGACGGAGAAGATTAACGATGGTATGGAGGCTATTTGGCTGACAATTAAAGCACGGGGGTCGCAGCCTCTTGAAGCTGTGACTGTCTACCGACCACTACGGGCAGATATTGATGCAGAAGCATATTAACTGGAGTGCGTTAAGGAGATAGAGAGTCGACCTGATGTTCTACTCATGGGTGACTTCAATGCACCCAGCATCAGTTGGGACGACTTGCGGGCGAATTTTTCTAAAAAAAGCCTTTGATTACCATCTTCTAAAAACGACACTTGAGGCTCTTCTCACACAACACGTCCTAGTTCCAACTAGAGCACGTGAAGGACAACAGGCTAGTTGTTTAAATTTAGTCTTCATCAAGCATCCTGACAGTATAGACGAGGTATGCTGCCAACCTCCACTTGGTCGAATTGACCACGCTCTACTTTCGTGAGATTATGGTCTTTATTCTGTACCTCCTACAATAAACGAACCAAAGTCGAATATATGGTGAGGCGACTTCTCTCAAATGAGAGTAGAGACATCGCAAATAGACTGAGGTCTTCGTTTTTCCGGGGATGTCACTGACGACTGGAATAAATGTAAGGAGTTGTTTTTGCATATAATGCAAAGTCATTGTCCCCTATCAGTGCCCAAGATATCTAACCGACCTGAGTGGTTGGCAAGAGATCTAAAAAGGGAGATTAGAGAAAAGGACTGCTTTGGAAGAAGTTTTGCAAAACAAACCATAACAAATCTGAGAAGTAGAAGACGACTCGGTCCCTGGGACAATAGTTTTGTTCGCTGACGTTTCGAAATCCGTCGCGGATTCATCATCAGAGACATACTACCAGAACAGTAGCAGAAGCAGTTTGTGTGTGCACAGGGTTTTGCCATAAAATTTAAACGTACAGAAAAAATCGATAAATGCCATGAGTGTGCGCTGATTCGTTGCGCCATCAACGACCATCTGGCCTTGCGGTGTTGGCATAAGATGATGT